TGGAGGGCTGAGCTTGTGTTGCCCAATTGCCTGTTAGCGGGGTGTAGGAGCCATGCAGCTGGGGACGAGTAGGGCTATAAATACCCTGCCGCTCACTCTCTTGAGGCCAGTGGCTGTGCAGTGCACTAGCTCTTTCTCTGATCTACAGCAACTCTTTCAGCACACAGCATCTGAAAGGTCATTGAGTGGCCAGCCATTCAAATGACGAATATCTGACAATTGTGTGATTATATAGCCTACTCTTACAAAGGTCTAGTAGTTCTTTGCAGCACATTCTACTAAAACCTTCTTATTAAGAGCTATTTTCACTGTATAGGGCTTTTGTGTTGGACATTAAAAAGTTTTAAATGTTTTCTTTTAAATCTTTTTTTAGGACTGACTCTCTGCTCAGTGAATTAATGAAATGTATTTAATTAATGTGAATTAATGTGATATGTATTACCCTTTTTTAAATATTTAGAAATAAGAATTGTACAGTAGTAAAAAAAACATCTACAGCTTAATAAAACGCTTTGTTCAAATTCTAATAACCAAAAAATTTACAATTTCAGTTTAAATGATTTGCGTTCATAAATGAGGGGCTATAGCATTAAAATAAATAAATAATTAATAAAACTTTGAGGAGTACAAAATGTAATCAACAACGTTTAAAAACAAACAAACAAAAAACAGTATTTTAAATGGAAAAGCACGTTTTCTTTGGCATGAATTGAAATCATATACTTTGACATAGTAAGCACAAATATATATATATATATATATATATATATATATACACACATTTACTGTATATATTATTATTATTATTATTATTATTATCATATTTCCGGTAGTCATTTTCATTATATTCTTATAAAAAGTTCTTCAGGAGTTCTTTGCAGCACATTAGATTCTACTAAAACTTTCTTAAAGGGATAGTTCACCCAAAAACCCAGAAAGCTCTCTGACCCTCCCATAGACAGCAACACAACTGTAATTTCCCCAGGTCCAGAAACGTAGTAAGGACATCAGTAAAACAGTCCATGTGGCATCAGTGGCTTAACTTCAATTTTGCGAAGCTATGAGAATATGTTTTGAGTGCAAAGAAAACAAAAATAACATAATTTATTCAACAATTCTTCTCCCCCGAGTTACGTCTTACATAAACAACGCTGATTACGCAGATTACGGTCATGCACGCGCTTTATCCCGCGAACGTAAACAACGCTGATTACGCAGATTACGTTCATGCGCGCGCTTTATCCCCCGAACGTAAACAATGCTGATTACGCAGATTACGTTCATGCGCGCGCTTTATCCCCCGAACGTAAACGTTCTTGGATACTTGTTTATGCTTAGGGGAAAGCGTGCGTATGTGTTGTGAATGTGATACTCAAAAATGGTGGAAGACGTAACTCGGGGGAGAAGAATTGCTGAATAAATTATGTTATTTTTGTTTTCTTTGCGCTCAAAAAGTATTCTCGTAGCTTTGCAAAACTGAAGTTGAGCCACTGATGCCACATGGACTGTTTTACTGATGTCCTTACTACGTTTCTGGATCTGGGAACATTACAGTTGCGTTGCTGTCTATGCAGGGTCTGAGAGCTCTCAGATTATCAAAAATATCTTAATTTGTGTTTCGAAGATGAACGAAGATCTTACCGGTTTGGAACAACATGAGGGTGAGTAATTAATGACAGAATTTTCATTTTTGGGTGAACTATCCCTTTAAGCACCATTTTCAGTGTGTGTGGCTCTTGAATTGGCAATTAAAAACTTGAAATGGAACTTGAAACATGAAATTGAATGAAATGAGGTAAAGCTACGAGAAAAATAGTGGGGAAAATATAATTAAATAATAATATAAAATTATTAAATAAAAAAATTATTACAATAAAATAACTAGGTTAAAAACTATGTTAAACTCAATCAATTGTATTAATAAATATATGTTGAAATAAAGAAATAGAAAACATTTTACTGGTAATATTTTACACAATTTTATAATATTTTTCACCATACAAATGGTCTTCATGTATGAAAATGTATATAGCAGCTGACATTATTTTAGCAAGGGTGATCATAATATTCTGGGGTCCATGCCAGCATCAAATAATTTGGCTTTTTTTTTTTACACATTTCTACATATGCTGTATTTGTAACTTTTTTTTTTCTTGGACCAGTTGAATGATTATTTTCAGAAAATGTCGTGAGCCACGTCAAGAAGACAGACAGTTTTATCAAATCAGTTGTGACGCAAACACTGACTCCCATGCGCAGCCAAAAGACACAGTTGCACGAAAGCATAACACAACATGCCCGGGGGTCACCAGGCTATTCAAGGCTATCTGTTTACACGTACTTGTCAATGATCAAACCATTTTCTTTTCGCAGCTATTCACACAACAGTCTAATTTTAGCCCTGTAGATTATCCATGGTTCGGGACATCAGTGTAACGTTTCTGAATCTTCTCCAGAACAAAGGCCGCCCCCCGTTACACCTGACTGCTGCCATGAATTAGTAAACATGCTTTTTGTTCCCTCTGCTTCCTGTGATCTGGAGGGCTAAGCTAACCGTTAGGCTAGCTCGTCTTAAGAGCGGACGCTTAGGCAGGTGTGAGTATCTGGAGATCTCAAATGCCTCATGTACTTACTGTACTGTAATCTGTTTGCTGGGTCATTACATGGCTGTTTTTGGTGGTTTTTGTACCACGTTAGTTTATTTAATGAAGTATTTTTCAAATGGCATCATAGATATAGTCAATCCAGTATTTGTCCTGCATAGTCAGTCTTTATTGTATTTCAATATAAATGATATACTCTGGGGTCCAAAAGTTTGAGACTTCTACTGAAAATGCTTTTATTTTGCTTGTGTTTTTATTTATTTATTTAAATTTTTGTTATATGGGTAAATGACATACAAGTGTTCAAGATAAAGAAAAGGAAAAATCTTTTAAAAATCTAATTTAAACACATCAAGTTCTTAGAAATGTACAATTTGTGTGTGTGTGTGTGTGTGTGTGTATGTGTAATAAATAATACTTTTTTAAGCAGTTTAATGTCTCTAAAAATGTCATGGGGTATAACCAACAAGGTAAATGTAATATTTTCTTATTAAAATATTAGAAAAATATATTAAAATATTTTTTTCTTTAAACATTGAATACATGTGAATGTATACATCTTAATAATTTCCCCCCATTTTTTTAAGGTTAAAAGTATAGTACACTATAGTAAACAGTACAATTATGAATCACAATTTTATTGATGTTTTGTGAAACTGCACCACATTTCAAAACCTGAACTAACCTTGTCTTTTGATAATAAAGTCTGATTATCTGACATCATAATTTTTGCATATTGACTGACTTTAATAGTCACATTACTTGACACTGATACGGAGGGCAAACATTTTTTAAATATTAATATTTTATTTATAAAGTTTTTTAGTTTGCATCAACGTTTATTTGCATTCATACATTTTTTAAAAGTAGGAAAACGACAACAAGATTTTCAGTGTGGTCTCACATATTTGGACATATGAGTATGACTTAGCATGTCATGTTGATTATGTGCTTCTATTCATAGTGAGTCAAGTGGCTGTTTCTTGAATGTTCAGTTTGTTCACTCATAATATTTCAATCAGATCATAGGAGGCTGACAGCCACTTGAATTTGTAAGCTTTTCGGGCACTGAGAGCTTTTGCTGAAGGAGCCAAACATCTGCTTTAGCCGCATGCTAGCAGGACTAACAGCAACAAGCAAAATCATTCTGTGTGTGTTGTCCATTTACAGCAGTTTAATATACCCACACTCTGTTTTCATGCTTGTTTGTTCTCTACAATCAAATGGAGCAGGTGTTAATGTTTTGTATGTAACCCAAACCAGTTTATGGGCACACATACACATGTATAAACAGACGCGCTGATAAGCTCCTGTTTGCTTGCCAGAGTAGTAATAGCCCCTGGTAATGTGTAAAGAACATGATGATGGTGTAATGTTGCTTTGTACTCATTGGCCACCTGCTAAAGTCAGGCCTTACAGGAAAGCACCACTGTTGACAAGAACCACAAAAGAGTCACTCTGCTAACAAAGAACACACAGTCTAAACACAGACACGCTAGCTAGCTAGACTGTTTAATGGTAGATGATATGCTTGTTTAGCAGTAAGATTCATATTTTATTCCTGTAGAAAGGGGAAAAAAAACATATTAAAGTTTATAATTTATAATATTTTCATCTTTGACCTAGCAGAAATGGCACATAAATGTGAAGTTGGTTTTGAGAAAAGCTTTAAATATTTGCAGGTGCCACTTGACTGATCTGATTTAGTATCTAGTGTAGAAATTACATAAGTGTCCAAATACTTCTGGAACCACGGTGGATTTATACATTTTTATATTTTCTATTATAACATCACTGAAGATCAGAAGATACAACATGTTATTTATTTATGAATTATTTCTATAATAATATTACTTCTGTATAATGTTTTAACTGCTTGAAAGCTTAGGGTCTGTTAAAAGAAAAAATATATTATTTATTTATTTATTTTTTAAAGTCTCATACTAAAATATTAGTTGTAAGAATATTACAACTTTCATAACTGTTTTCTGATGTAATTTATTCCTGTGATGTCAAAGCTGAATTTTCAGCACTCATTACTCCATTCTTCATTGTCACATGATCTTTCAGAAATCATTCTAATATGCTGATTTGCTGTTCATGAAACATCTTATTTTTTTATCAATGTTGAAAACAAATGTGCTGCTTAATATGTTTGTGGAAACCATGATACATTTTTTTAGGATTCTTTGATGTATAGAAAGTTCAAAAGAACAGAATTTATTTAAAATATAAATCTTTTGTAACATTATAAATGTCTTTACTGACACTTTTGATTAATTGAATGTGTCCTTCCTGAATAAAATGATGTATTAATTCATTAAAAATACAACATTTTACTATTTGTTATGTATCTATTTATTCTGTATTGATAGGTTTTGTTTCTGTATTTTCCAGAAACGGAGGAATGAGGTGTTTCCATTGCATTTATCTGAGTTATCGCTCATATATAATGTGCATTGGCTCGTTTAGTTTACACTCGAAGTAGATTGGTCCCTCTAAGCGAGATCCCAATTCGTCGGTCATCCGACGTGACGTCGAGAGTGACCGACTGAAAGGGAACCAAACATACCAAGATGATGATGATGTGTAATCATGAGAACAGATATGATGCAAGTGAACGGCATAATTATAATTATGAGTTCCCCAGGTAGAGCGGTCGGTTGCGATGCAATTGTGTCCAA